AGTCAGCATATATTCTTTTACAAGCAATTGATGGACATTTTATATAATGATATATATAGTTAAATATGATATGGTGCGGCAAGTCTATACAATGATAGGTGAAGTTCTACCTACTGGTCCAGGATGTAAAGCTAATATAAAATCTTTAAATTAATCAATTATAGTTAAATTTTGACCATAATTGAGACCATGGCAGATCTTGTTTTTTAATAAACATCATAATATATATTCATATAAATAAAATTACATTTAGAATCTTAAATCGGCAGTTAAATAAGTAAGACAAAATTTTTGAGATATTCCAGATGTCCTGTCCCTGTCCCTTACAATAAAAACTACTCAACGAATGTAATTTGTGTTATACGGTTATAATTTATAAAAGCATAATTTACGCTGCTTTTCTCCAGGCGCTAAACGAATAATCTCTTTTGACGTTCAGATTTCTCTCGTCACAAAAGTGGAGCTAATTCGAAATGGCTCACCTCATTAGCTTTCTTTTGATGGTCTGTCGTGAGTAGGTATGAGTCATCTTTTTAAAAGACGTGCTCCTTTAATGTTTTTGATATAGTGATGGAAAATGATCTTTTTGAAATCATTGCAGTTAACGCAATATATGTACATATTCAATGACGTAGTTTACCGTTCATATTAAACTCACTTGATGGCTCTTGAATCTGAAATAATCAAATGTTCATGAATGATGAAGAGAGTTTGCCAGCGAAGCGTAGCCATTACCTGATATTAGCTGTAACTATTTTATACTAATAACTGATATTTATTGATAATTTACAGTTATGTTTTTAAGTGAATCCGCCGTTATTTGAAATAAATAAACTAACTTTTTAAAAGTATTACCACCGATATAAATAAATAAAAAATAAATAAAATCTTTATTGGAAACTAATACAAAACAGTAACATTATATGCAAAAAGGTCTGCGTTAGTGAGAAAAACCGTTTTGTCGCAGCACCACCTCCGGCCTGGGGCTGTCAGAGTTGCATCCACAACAATATAAGTAAATAAGAGAATATCATGATGAATTTTAATGAACTATGTTCTTTAATCCTCATTTTTCCACCCTTAGATATTGTTTCTTCAAATTAGAATTGGAAGAAACTGGCAGTATTCCCTCCCTCAAAATTAAACAGAATAAAAAACAAATAAAAAAAAAATAACTTCACACATCTCACACAGCAGTCTGATCCCAAACTAGACAGAGCCTGTACTATGGTAATCAACCTGCTGATAAATATACTTATATATTTCTAAGTATGTACATACATATAGACTAGCTGGAACCCGCAACTTCGTTTGCGTAGAATTTAGCTTCGATGCCCGGATCTGTCAAGATTATAATTTTTACCTGGTAGTAAAATATTATCTAAATTTATAATAACCTTTTATTTGGAAATTAGAAAAAGACACTTCAATTTTATTTATTTGTATGGATAAATTGCACCCAGACACAAAATGATTGAGATCATCACACATTATTTGTCCTGGGTAGAAATCGAACCCACGACTTCCGGCTTAGCAGTCAGGGTCACTAACCTGTAGACCAACAGGCCTGTCAAAATAATATTCGAAATCAGTAGATAAATGACGGAGATCTGATAATTATTATTTACTTAGGCACCCATTACAGATTTATTATTAGAAAATAATGGTTCACGGTTTATGCATAAAGTTTATGTTTATGAAATTAAAGGTTTTTTTTTATATTTGAGTTGATTGAATGAAAGGTAAATTGCGGTGTACGATTTATGACGTATTAAAAAAAAAACTACTTACTAGATCTCGTTCAAAACATTTTTCGGTGGAAGTTTGCATGGTAATGTACATCATATATTTTTTTAGTTTTATCATTCTTTTATTTTAGAAGTTACAAGGGGGGGGGGGGGGCTTACCGAACACGTATGGGTTTGATGAAAAAAAAATTTTGAGTTTCAGTATGGGGAACCCCCAAAATTTCTTGTTTTTTTCTATTTTTGTGTGAAAATCTTAATGCGGTTCACAGAATAAATCTACTTACCAAGTTTCAACAGTATAGTTCTTAAGGTTTCGGAAAAAAAGAGGGTGTGACATATGGACGGACAGACGGACAGACATGACGTATCTATAAGGGTTCCGTTTTTTGCCATTTGGGTTCGGAACCCTAAAAATCAACAATATGGAGCTGAGAAACGTTTTCTAACAAAAAAGCAAAGTGAACTTGTGAAATGCACATAGAACATTATATTTGTGAAGGTTATTATTGTTTCTCACACAAATAAAATTCACGAAATACCTAGCTCGGTTTGTAACAACAAACAACCGCATACTTTTTCAAACCTCCTTATCTTGCCAATGTATGTTTAGGCTCTGATAGGGCTTATATAATAATAATAACAACTTGAAACATTTCGCACACACATCTCTGTTATTTTTAACCCTCGACGAAAAAGGAGGGGTGTTATAAGTTTAACTTGTGTATCTGCGTATCTGTCTGTCTGTGAAATCATAGCTCCCGAACGGATGGACCAATTTTCGATGCGAATTTTTTTGTTCGTAAGCCAATGTGATCTAGATGGTTCTTAGCTAAAAATTTTGTAGATCATCAGCTCACTTCCTAGGTGATGAAAATATCTCAATAAAATTTACAGCTCCGATTGATCTAAAATTTGGTATACTGTTACTTTAATGGTATTTCTACGACATGGTAACCTGAACTTGTTGCTACATCGATTAATCTGCGGGATAGCCAAACTCCTCAGATGATTACAGCATAAAAACAATTTTTTTGCTTATTAGAACAGTCTCAATCTCAGAGTAGTTGTTGTTTTTTAAATTTTTTGTCCGGGCTTTTTAAATTTTTAAATTGATTTATGTCACTATTATATGTCGTCGTTGCAAATTGAAGGTTGTAAGTATAATTATTACACAGTACTCCGACTACCCTTTTCTTCGATCTTAATAATTTTACATCATGTTGACGTCCACGCCATCAAAGTGAAACGCTTGCTATAGCACTAAAGCCTGTGATGTTTTACAAAATCCTAGACAAGCAACACACAAAATGCTATCGATCCTGCTAACGAAAAAGTAGCAGAGTTTAATATGAAGAGCGTCTTGTTACCTCTAAAGGTGATGACTCCTTAGCTGGAGGTCGGGGGTTCGATTCCTACCTAAGACAAATAATTGAGTGATGAGCACAATCATTTGTTTTATGTCTGGGTGTAATTTATGTACCTACTCGTATAATGCGTATATATTTAGAAATATTTAAGTATGTTTATCAGCAGTCTGGTTACCATAACACAGGCTCTGCCCAGTTTGGGATTAGACTGATGTGTGTGAGTTATGTGAAGTTTATTACTAAAACTTTATTATAATTTTAAATTACAGTCCCATAATTTTACAGTTTGTATCCGCTTGTGTCTGTCGAAATTAAAACTCATTTACAACAAATTTAAAAAAATGGTGTTTTAATTTATATTCCTTTACGCTTTCATGTTATGATATAATATCCTTTGTTATCTCATGTTCTCATAAAACGACCATTCATTCAAATCTCTTACGCGCTGAAGGTAATACATTAATACAGTTATTCAAAGAACCAAAAAAAAAACAAAATTAATTCATTTGACGATGTGTAAAAATTATTTTAAACGACCGACGTTATTTCAAAAGAGTTACTATGACAGTGTCTGGAATACAGTTCCCATATATCCATAATACGCAGTGTTCATAATGACAATATGGGTATGCCTTTGTGGAAGTTTATCTGTCATTAATAATAAACGTCTTTAGGAGTTTCTAGAGCCAAAGAGAGGAATGACGACTACCAAAAGCTATAAATAAAACTAGTTTTATATTTTCATTATAATATGTAAATGTAGTTTGATTTTACGATCCATATTTGGATGCAGAATTTATATTCTTGTTTTTTATATGATATATTTTGACAAAAGTAGATTAAGACTGGTCATAATTTATTGTTTCTAGTTTGGTTTTGGTAAAATTGTAATTTACTGACATCATTTTGTCATTGTTTGAAACTTGAGGCTGGTTTCTCATAGATCTTAGCTTGGAATTGCAATATGTGGAAGCCACATAATTATGACTTATTCCAGGTTAATTTTTTGTGATAACTTTATTCCAAATGCGTACAGTAGTAAGAGCGGCATTAAATAATAAAATGAAGGAACACATATGTAATCATTACCTAATAACTGTGTATTACGAACACTTAAACAAATAGCCTTGCCGTTCATAAGCGATGAGCTTACGAACATAATGTAATTTTTTACTATACTAGCTGTCCAGCCAGGCCTCGCTGTGGCACATCGTGGTTGACTTGATGAGAAATGAGGAAGAAAACTAACGCGAAAAATTGATAAAAACAATATTTAAATATGTGTGTCAAAATTTAAGCTGAATCGGGGCAGAACTTTTTGTACCAAGTTAACATTTTTATATATATCGACTTGATATGTACGCTGCCCACGCTTCGCTGTGGCACATTATGTTTGCAAAAGAAAGAACCATGTTTGAAGCGTGTTGTATATAGTGTCAAAATTTAAGCTCATTCATTCATCATTAAAGAAATTGTGTGTTTTTTTAAAGCGTACACAAACCAACTTAACATTTTAGATATATATAAATACGAGATTCGCCATCCGGGATTCCGACTCTGTTCTGTTTAGATATGCAACAAAACTTTCTTGTGTATTATGCTAATTTATGACAGAAACTTACTGAACTGTGGTTTACGCATTTCATAATGGTAAAATATTAACGAGAATAAAACACATTAGTATAACAACGTGGCGTAACGTTCCATAAAATATGTACCTACAATAAACTCATTATGTATAAAATATTGATTGAAATCTAAATTTTTGTAAATATTGAATACTTTAGAATGTATATACGAGTGCAGTGGTAGTGAACATAGAATAATTTTAAAATAATATTAATATAAAATAGAATGATTAATAACTTTTTCCTTTTGTCCATAGGTGTGCGCTCTGTCGCCACGGGAGCGAGTATCCGAATCCTTAGCTCTGACGTACGCCGAGGCTCCAGGTCGGCCACTACCAGATGTTATTGCTCAGCCGGGTCTGTCGTACGACGAGGTCCTCCACGACGACTTCAGATTCGACTTGAATGCTCACGACGTCATGGTGTTTCTGCACATTCAGAAAACTGGTGGCACCTCCTTTGGAAAGCACCTAGTCATGGATTTAGATCTCAAGGTAGGTAGTCGGATCTAGTAATCAATGCAAATACATTAAAAGGCACACCTGTTTGTCCCGTTCTCCCTGTAGGTGTCTTAGACGTGTTGAGGCGTTGTGGGTGAACTGGTATGCCAGTAGGCGATTGTTTCTGTTTGGTGTACTAAACGGATTTCAAAAGCCTTAATGTTATTTTGCTTAGGTATACATAAACTTGTATAATTTGATTGCACCAATACGAGTATAATTTGTAATCCACAACGATTTTAGTGATAGATTATATTCAACGTTTTCTAACTAGTCTACGGTCTTGGTAAAGTAAGTAAAAGTAATTGTTGAATTACTGTGTTGAAATTTTCAACGTGATGATGGTCCAATGAAAAATCTCTGTACGACGTGACAGACATTGTAAATGCCGGGTTTTACAGCTCTATTAAAACGCGATGACACGCTGACGCGGTAAAATTTGTGAAAATACGAACGAGTTAAAGAACATGCTACGTCACCTAACTTGACTTTTCGACTCGTTGTACCACCACTCGTAAGTTCATGTTTGGAAAGTGTGCCAGGCTGAATCCGTGAGTTCAAACAGGCGGTATCAGTAAATGTGAGCTCATTATGCCTAAATGTAAATGATAATGGTAATTATCTATTTTAGTTAGATGCGTTGCACGACAGGCTTGTCAAAATATTAAGCTCTATGTGGAACTTCAGTATCGGTCTTGCGAACAATGAAATTACGCATAGGTACTATTTAACCCATGATTAATTGGATTTTTCTCTTTTACTGACTGGCGTCATTTGTTAACATAAAATGGATAACTTGGCAGTTTTTATGAAACAATTTTTTCTATTTTTTAACAATCTGATACAAGCAATTTCAACTAATTCTCTTTGCCGCGTATGAAACCTATTTTAGAACTTTTCAGTAACTCATGTTAAAAGGTAAAAATCTTGATTCTTTGGATCACATTAATATTATCTCGTAATAAAGTAGGTTTTAATGTAAATTGATACAAGCAGCTGCTGCCACGATAACCTTAAGGCTTACCCTATAAAGTGTGTAACTTCTGCATGAGTGCGATTCGTTTCCATTCATGGCGGCAGCTAAGCAATTTGCGTTGGCGCGCTATTGGAATACAATTTGATTAATTTAAAGATTTTGGATTTATTTTCTAATCTGTTCTTTCTAATAACATCTTTATTATCTATCTTTAAATGTACACTAGTTTGATTATAATTAAATGATCGCTTTTCATTTTTATCAACATTTCATAATCTTTATGAGCATGTAATCTGTCGCCATGTACTGATAAACTCGATGTCCTGGATCGACCACCGGAATTGAATCGGATCATTATTTAGTTAATTGAATAAAAACAACGATATTTTAACGTACCGAGTTAAAGGTTGAAGATAAAGAAGATGCTGTACTCTTATGCGTACTCAGTCCGCCTCTTCACGTACACAAACTTAAAACACTCATTCATCCACTCTGCCGTGCATAGACTGACATTAGGTCGATATTTAGTTTTTAATTTCACCTTAATCAGAAAAGTAGCTCTATCGATCTGTATTAACGGTTCATTTTTATCTATTTTCGTTCTCGATAAAGATAGTTAAAATGCCTTTATATATTTTTTTCATATTTGTACAACTCAAAAACGCAGTTAACTATATTTCGTAACCTAAAAGCGGCTAAGAGCCCTTATTTTTTGTTGTTTCAATTTTTATGTAAGTCACATAACTAAATTGTTGTTAACTGATTTTTTGTACTCAACAGTGCCACTTTAACTTTTTAGTAGATTAGCATTGTGTTATTAAGAATGTAGCTTCTCCAACGCTATAAAGCTGTTCAATAAAAATACTACACACAAATGCGGTTAAAATCACTTAACTGCATTTTAGCGTTTTATTCCACATATATTTTTTGAGATTTTACATATTGAATAAGACATTCACGGCGTTTTCAAAATAATGGCAAAACTATTTAAGCTGGATCAATCAACACTAAAATGCGGCTATCCCACATTACAACGCTAAATTGCCGATAACTGCTCTCTCGGCGCTCGTCTGTCGTATTTCGCCTAGAAAACGCAAGACTATATAAACTACCTATATACAAGACCCTACTACTTGATGTCGCCTGTGTTCCAAACATTCTGTGAAACACAAATTAAATACATCTCATACCAGGCACATAATGTACACAAAACAGTGACCACACTTAGAAGAACTTTTTCCGAGGTAGATTTACCAATTGACTTTGACTCTGACGATTCTACGTGTGATAAAAATAATTACCCTTCTGCGTCAAGTGGCGACGTTGGAGAATATAATATTCATGTAGTTACCAAAGATAATCAACAGCCCAAACTCTTATAAAAGGAAATAAAGTCAAAGAAAAAAAGCTCACGTTCTGTTACATCAACTCAAGTTACGACTAAAAATATTCTAAAATTTAACTAACACTCTTCCTTGTGTATTTCGAAGAAGCTCATAAAATAGTACTTAGTCTAAGAAAGCTACATCGACGCCAGTCGACGAAGGAATCAAAACTCGCCACTGCTTTTAGTACTAATCAAATACATTTTACAGAACATGAACTAGAAACAAATATATCGCAGCCTGTTTACAGCACGCAATCGTCATAACGTATAAAATATGCCACTTTTTTACGTCAGCGAAAAATTGATGATACAAATAAAAGAAGAATTGAACACACTGTTAAAATGGGATGCAGTGATAAATGCCTCAAGAAATGCAATTTACAAATTATACCAAGAAAAGCGAGAACATATTAATGAAATGTATTGCACCATTACTTGGCAACAGCAGCATTCATTCGTCGACTCCAATATATCAGTAGCAGTGCCTAAAAGTAAGTATACCACCGAACTCAAAAGGAGGTTTTACGTTCAAAAACATGATGATATTCGGATAGAGGTATAAAAGGTATGCAAAAATTTTTTTTGAACACTAGGCTATGTAAAAAGAAACGATAGGATCTTGTGCAGTAATATAACAAATTAAGGATAGGAAGGATAAGCGAGGAAAACACTAAAAAACAGCTGTCTATGATCGGAATTTACTTACCCAGCGCGATGAATCATTCAATCCTTCAGAACCTCATTATAGACGTGAACATGCTCCTTTTGCGTCGTGGAACTTAGGAAGCGATATCAATATAGCCCAAATGCATCTATAGACATTTTTATGAAACTTATCTCAACCAAAGAGTGTCGTGCGAACTATACAGGCAGCATATAAAATCCATGAATATGTCCTTTACTCGGCTAGGCAATAAAGAATGTAAGGCTTGTGAGACGTATAACTTGCATAAAAAGCAACCTCAATGATGATGCCAATAATAACCACAACCATGATGCCAATAATCGAACTACCGTACACTGTACCATTTGTGTTGAGTGGGCTAAACACCATGTTAAATATAGGAAAGCAAGTATGATCTGCATAAGAATATACCTGAATCGCAGATATTTGTCAGTTCACACCTAGAAAAGGTTTATACCAATAAAATTTAAATGGGACCACCTGGAAAGTATACCCATTAAAATAAAAAAGAATTTTCTAAATCGGTTCAGGCGTCTTCGCGTAATCGGTATACATAAATAAAAAAAACGATACCGACGAATTGAGAACCTCCTCTTTTTTTAAAGTCGGTTAAACATAGTTTTGAAGGCGAAAATATTACCTTGCTATTTATGAACGACAAATATCTAAAAAATCATAAGGTAGATACATCCAGAAAGAAAGCCAAATCTTAAAGCCAAGCTATCTAATATTATTCCTCTACATAAGCTTATTATTCTGGCACAACTTACCTGTTATGAACAATTAAGTGTCCTATAAAAAATATGTAAAGTGCCATTTTAAAAACTATTTCTGTGTTAATTAGAGATAGTAATTTTTAGAACTTTGTTTGTTTTTATATTTTTTATTTGATATATATTTTGAAATATATTTTATTTATAATGTGTTTATAATAATTAAGAAGACTGTTTAATGTAAATTATGTGACTGATTTGAAAGAAAGCTGTGCTTAAATATTACTTTGGATTTATTAAAGCTACATTGTGCCTAATGATTGACATACCTAGCCTAGTAATTGTATTTCAGTCAAAATAGTTGTTTTGTCAAAGTAGTGTATAGTAAGTTCATGTGATCTCATTTTCCTCAAATATATTTAAAAAATATTGTTTGTAAGAAGTAAGTACCACAATAATGTTATTTTATCAAGGATTACACACTGTTACAGTGTTAAATTACTTTTTATTCAAAGTTTTTAAAATAAATGTCAATTTCCTTTAGTATTTACTTTATTTTAACATATCTGTAAACATACTATTAATAGGATTCCCTAAAAATTAACATCGTAAATACTTTACTATAACGCAGTTACCCGTCGACGTTTTGTATTTAACTGCATTTTAGACATGTAAGCATTTTAGATATGTGTATGTAAATATGATTTCAATCAAAAAACCAATATTAATTTATAATACTTATAATATTAGTCTAAAACGTGGCAAAAGTAGCATAACCGTTTTTTAATAGTGACCAAGTCGCAAAAAAATATTACAAAAATTCCAAACTATAACGTGACTATGTGCTATAACGGCATTTTAGTAATGTAATGATCGATGAATTTACAATAAAAAAGTATGTAATAGTTACGAAGACATACAAGACAAAAACGCCGCTAAGCTACCCATAACGTCGTGAATGAATGATAGAATTCATTGATTGGCACTTCCATTGTATTAAATAATTTTAATTTATTACTGTTTCTACCAACGCATACTGCTATGCATTGATTATAAGATTTATTATTATTATTACTTTTTCTGCCAACGCGCATGGGAAAACAAGTAATAATAATAATAAATGTTGACGACTTAAGATTTTATAGAAGAAGCAGTCCCTATTGGATGGTTTCTCCGTCTCTTTCCGTTTTAAAGGTTTGGTATTCTTTAAGATTATAAAAATCAAACTTGTTT